TCTTCTTCTTCTTCTTCTTCTTCTTCTTCTTCTTCTTCTTCTTCTTCTTCTTCTTCTTCTTCTTCTTCTTCTTCTTCTTCTTCTTCCAGAACACATCTTTTTAAAGATGACTGCTAAAGCCCCAAATCAATGGCAGAAAGCTCTTCCTGAAGTTATCTCGAGATGGCAAAGTCTTGGTTCTAATAAGAACTTCAACCTGGCATTTCAGTTTAACTGGGTTGTGGGCAAAATGTCAGCAACCATAAGACGTTCCCCGGGGTGATTATAAATTTGGAGCATCTTCATCTAGGGATACTACCTCTTTGCCTGCCAAACTGACCAGCCATTCACTCTGAAGTTGGAGCGAAATATCTGAGGTGTCAGAAGGGTGTCTGTTGTGGGGAGGGGAAGAGAAAGGAGTTTGTAAGCCGCTCTGAGACACCTTTGGGTAGTGAAGGGCGGGGTATAAATCCAATCTCTTCTCTTCTACTTCATAAGTAGGTTGTGACTTGATGACACTTAATTATTGTTATATTATCTCCTCCGAAGGAGAAAGTCTTGATCCTTGTCCTCTTCCGCGCAGAGCTATGGATTGCAAGGGTAGGAGCTGAGCACTAGTTTTGGTGGCCTTCACAGCTAAGGAATGTTCTCCCTGTTAGGTGCATTGGGCTCCCTCAGTATTGATAATTCATCACTTGGCTTCTTCAAGAAGCATTCCCTGCAGATTGACTTGTTTTATTACTGTTTCAGTACAGAGCTTGTCGTGGTTTCATTGTGACCCATGTCTGTTTTTTTCTTTTCTTGTGAGCTGCTGTAGGTGCCATGGTCCACAGAAGAGAGTGCAGGATGTAGATATTTAAATACATAAATAGATAAGCATGATTTGAGTCTGGTAGCACCAACAAGATTTCCAGGGTAGAAGTTTTCAAGATCCAAAACTCCCAAAGGCAGTCTTCTACTGCAGACCAACACAGCGACCCGTCTAAAACAATAAATAGATAAGAAACCTGAGAGCCAGGACTGGCTATACCTGGTACATGCATGGGACCAGGGATGGCCTCTGAAGTTACAGGGTAAGAATGGGTTTGGTGAACCCCACCAAACTAGTAGCACTGTCAGGGCAGACCAGGCAAGCCAAGCCATGCAGACAGGGTAAGCTAGAGGCACAAATCCATTTTTCATTTGTATGGTAAATAACTCGTGTAGATGTGCCTTAGGACAGACCAGAACCAAGCCCAAAGAAACTCCGTTTGTGACACTGGTAGTTGGTTGATTGCACTTTTTCAGTCAGAAAAGGGAAAGGTAGTTAATTTGTTACTGCTGGGGTCTGTGACAATGAGGGATGCTGATCCAACCACTGATTTTTTAAAGACCACTCCATAATGAAACAATCTTGGATATTTAGATAGATATAAATAAGCATTTTTCATCCTCCGGGGATCTTACTTCCCTAGCCATAAATAGGCATCAACACAACCCATGTGACACCAAACATCCTGAAGACTGAGGGATGGGGGTTGCCCCCCCCCAGCTTATGGCCTTTGGGCTTCTAGGTTGCTATCTTTGAAAACAATAAAATAAGTGTAAAATGATTTCTCTCCCGAAACAATTAGGAGGCATTAAAGGCAATGGGAAATACAACCGCTGATTGATTCTGGGAAGGAGGGGAAGGGAAAATAAGGAGGGCTGCAAAATAAATGTTAGGATAATGCTGAACTCTGTAGGCTGATAATGACATTGCTCTACTAGGACGGAATTACCTCCCATCCCAACCAGCATCATCATTACATATCTCGGCCCCGCGATCAGTACCCGTCAAAACCCTTCATATTGACAAATGCCCTGTCCTCTTGCATCTGTGGAGAATGTTTTAGCAGCTGAGTGATTATGAATCAAACCCCAGAGCTTCCAGCTCTTACTGCTTCCCTCTGCTTTCCCATTTGTCTCCTGACAAGTAAATGTATCTTGACTTCCCTCTGAGATGTGTGGGCCCTTTCCGGCCCCCCCCCTTGCACAGTGTTTAATGAAAGGCGTTTGGCAAATTGGCAGTGGTACCCTGTACGTTGCAATTTGTAGTGAGCATTAGGAGTCTGAGCATGAAACGAGAGGGCAGGCGACGGGCGAATGGGGAGGAAAAATACCTGGCGCTAAGCAGGATGTGAATAGTCATTCTAAGGAAACAGGCTGTTATTTATTTATTTTTAACCAAAAAGATCAGGCACAAACTAAATTATTTTACTTATCCTGTATTTTAATATGAAATAGTAAAGCTAAGCCAGTCTTTTTCCTTATATTTTTTGTGTGTTTGTGTCACTGCTAAATAATATTAAAATCTGGGCATAAGCTTTTGTGTACATGCACACATTGTTTCAATGTATTTGAAGACGTGTGCGTGCATGCGAAAGCTTATACCCAAAATTAAACTTCATTGGTCCTAAAGTTGCCACTGGACTCAGACTTTGTTTACTAGAAGTGGTGTACCAGCCGCAAACCTAGTGCTTTCTGGTAGAAAATTCACCTGGGGAGCTGGCTGCTGCAGGCTTGGAGAAGACCCACATAGTATGAGGGCTGGTTCACACATGCGTGCTCGTCCCTTGATTTTTCTGTACTTCATTACTCTGTCTCTGATGACTGCCACCACCAGTGTTCCCTCTAAGCTGAGTTAGTGTGAGCTAGCTCACAGTTTTTTAGCCTCTGGCTCACACATTTTTGTCTCAGCTCGGGAAGGAGGGCTCCAGAGCAAACTAATTTATGCAGTAGCCAATTCGCTTGCTCACAACTTTAATGCCAGTAGCTCACAAAGTAGAATTTTGGCTCACAAGACTCCACAGCTTAGAGGGAACATTGGCCACCACTGATACATTGTATCTGTGGTCATGAGAAACTCATGGTGACCTATTTGTACACGCACATCACCATATAATTCCATAGATGTTATGTGACAAACGTGAACGGGTGAATCAGTCCTGAGGCCTGGCAAAACTAACGTTGGCTGATAAAATGCGGAGTCTTGTTCTAATGGAGAGACTTGTCCTTAATGAGTGCCACCACTGAGACATTGTATCTGGGATAATGAGAAAGTTTTAGCTTTGCTGATGGACTTATGATGGCCTATTCATACATGCATGTCACTCTATAATTCCATAGCCATCGCATGGCAAACATGAATGTGTGAACTAGTCAAGAAGACTGGCAAAACGAATGTTGGTTTATGAAATGCAGTCTTGTTATGATGGGACTGTAACAGTGTAACCAGGCAGATGTATGAACCTCTTTTTATGTGCACAGTAGAACTCCAAGTGTAGCCATAGCACACAGAGAGTTCCCATGAGTTGGCTTCATATGGGAGGGGCAGTGGCAGAGCTTATGCTTGTTGTGCAAAAAGGTCCCAGGTTCAATCCCCAGCATCTCCAGTTAAAAGGGTCAGGGAGCAGGTGATGTGAAAGACCTTCACCTGAGACCCTGGAGAACCACTGTCAGTCTGAATAAACGACACTGACTTTGATGGACCGATGGTCTCATTCAGTGTAAGGCAGCTTCATGTGTTCATGTGTTCCCTGGTCATCTTGATAGAGGTGGAAGCTCTGTGTATGTATGTGCTGTCCTATTGTCACAGAGAAAGAAAGGAAGGAAGATAGCTAGCAAGCTTTGAGTTATCCCAAAATGGAAGCATACTGATGATTTTCAGGGAGCAAGATGGTTGCTAGAAGACTGGCTAATGGACTACAAATGTAAATTGAGTAACATGTCCTGCCCCGACCACCAAGGAATCTTGGGAATTAATTTTCTGAAAGGAGGGCAAGAAACTAACAGAACTGCAGCTCCCAGGGATCTTTGGAGATATCATAATTGTTCACAGGGGTCATTTCGTAGAAAAAGAGGTGCAGTAGCTCATTAGCATAACTCATTTGCATATGCCACGCCCCCTGGCCTCACCGGAGTTGTGTCAGAAGGCAACATCCACCGCTCAGGTTCCACTGGACTGTTTTGGATTGCTAGCTATTGGGGGGGGGAGCGTGCAGATCTGTCCTCGTAGAGGAGGGAGAGCTTGTACCTGAATAAAGCTTGTGTTAAAGGTGACACTGGACTGTTCTGGACCCGGGGGGGGGGCTCTGCAACTTACCTGGCTGCTTCTTGCTCTGACTGAGGGCTGCTGGGAGCACGGGGTGGGGCTTGTTGCATGTGCCCACCCCCTGGGCTCTTTACTGCTGGAGCTCCGCTCCTGTGTGCTCCTGCAGGAAATGACCCCTGATTGTTCAATAGGTTTGAATACAGTTTACGTTTTCAGATACACATTAAATTATCTCTGTATCCAAATGAGCCAACAGTGTGAACAAGAACCCTAAATACTACCTGTGTCATTAAAATGGCTCTAACAGTTCTGTTATTGGTTGCTCTGTTGAGTCTGGGGGGGGAAAAGTCATGGCAAATAGATGTGATACACTTTTCAAATGGGTGTTGCTTGGATCTGGCATTCTCTGTGGATGACAAGAATATCCTCACAGGACAGTATTTTTCTCCTCCTTGCAGATGTCAGCCATAGAAAACATGGCCGAAAAGCTAGAGAGTTTTAGTGCCCTGAAACCAGAAGCCAGTGACCTCATACAGTCCGTCCCTTCCATGTTCAACTTCCGAGCCCCACCAAGCACCTTGCCGGAGAATCTTCTGCGTAAGGGCAAAGAACGCTATACCTGCAGGTAAATTCCCCGGGCGAATAACCCCTGAAGGGCTCTCCTAACAGCTCTTTTCTTTCGCAAGCCACTGTTGTTTACTTTAGAAATTACTTGAGATTGGATGATTAATAAGGATTATGGTGGGTCACTGGCATTTTAAAAGGTTCTTTATTCAGCCAGACATGGGCATAGTGTTTGATTGTGTGTTTGTTTGTAATTACAGGAGAAATTTGTCCTACGTTACCTTGAGTTTGATAAATGAGGCCGAAACATTACATACGCAGGCTTGTTCCAAAATTTCCTCATCACCTTTATATTAAAGCATGAGCTTTTCCCTCATAATTCCCCCCCCCCCCGATCATGTACTGCAAGACTGTTTTCCTCTTGGTCTTTCCTTTGATAATGCCAAGAGGAAAATTTCACAAGATCTGCAGATGATTAGGAGAGGTGTTAAAACATCTGAGTCGTCACTGCAAATATTTGGCTCAAATCGACCTCTCCCAAAGAAATCAATGAAAGTTTTGTTTGGGAAGTTGGATCAAGCACATAAGACATCTGTGGTCTTTCAGGTCCTAAGTGGAAGACCATTTGTAAGGCTCAAAGGGAGCCTTTCTTGTTGACCTCAAAGTGTAATTAATTTCACACGTCACCATGGTACAAATTTGAATTTGAAATTTGGGCAGAATTTAAAAAGTCCATTTCTGGAGAGTGGCCCTGACAAGTACTACACTTTCTGCCTGTCCTTTTCTGAACAGTTTTCATCCTTGCTTTTAAAGTGATTTTTACTGCATTTTTATTAGGTGGAAGAATGGGAGCTTGTTCACATGAGCATTCATGAAGCCTTTTACGAAGGAAAAAAAGAGTGCACGTCTACTCTTTCATCACTGCTCCACCTAGGGTTGCCAGCCTCCAGGTGGGACCTGGAATTCTCCCAGATTTAAAACTGATCTCCAGATGATGGAGATCCGTTCCCCTAGAGAAAACAGCCTCAGAGGGCACAATCTGTGGTATACCATAGATTCAAGGTGAATTTCCTTCCCAAAGCCCTCCCCCACAAGCACTGCTCCCAAATCTCCAGGAATTTCCCAGGTCAGAGCGGGCAACCTTAGTCCCACCTCCAAAAAGATTTCCCTCCCATCCCATTTAGAAATAAAATTGACTAGATGAGAAGCTATTTGTGATGTGGTCTTCTCAATTTTACTCTCTTGATTCATATGGTAGCAGAGGTAGCATCTGGAATGATGGAAACTGATAGAAGAGGCTTATTACTGTACTACAAGGCTCCATTCTGTCCCATTGTATCCGGACACCTGTTCAATTACTATGACTGGTTGAAGTCTCTACAGTAATTGTAAAGGGGAAGTTGTACCTGTTACTCTACAGAAGAAATCATCTATAGTCAATCAGTCTATGTCCATCAAAGACACTTGTGAATTCACCCCTCACAACAACTATTTTTGTATTTCGAGGGATCAGCAAACACATTTTCAGCCTTAGTGGTATAGTCCTGGCCTCTGCTGATACCACAATTGTTGCATTGTGATGGGGTTTTTGCTAGAGTGCATTCTGGGAAATGTTCCTAGGTCTTTCTGGCTGTGCTTCATTCTGCTGTATGGCAACATTTGATGTCCTGCCATTTAAGCTTAGGATTTTATCATGCATTTCCTATACTTTTCGCCACTAGTTTTAAACAGCATCATGGAAATGTAAACAGAGTGTACATGAAGCTGTTTATGTTTCCTCCATGGGGGTGACTAAAGGAATAAAGGATTCATACCATGCTTTATCTTGGAGTCCTCAGAAACAGATTTACAAATAAGCCTTCAACATTTTAACTAGGTTGCCTGACCATACTTACTTGTTAGTCACTTGTAACCTGATTAAGAACAAAAAAACACCCCTCAGTTCTACATAGCTTTTCTGCCCACGTGCCAAGAGGTTATTGTTTGTTGCTCCTAGGGGTGTGCATTTCAAAAATTGTTTAATTCTGTATTGGAAAGTCAGGAAGGGTATGATTATCATTTTCATTAAACATCATGAATATTCTTGTATCAGAAAATCGTGTTGGGATATCGGAACAATACCAACACTCCCCAAAATCGAGTGAAAATGATAAGCGTGCCCTTTCCAAAATCACCAAGCGAAATTAAAATTTTTTTTGATCTTGCACTTCCTCCCTTCCTCTGCCAAGACAGCAGGCTGGCTGGGGAGGAAGGAGTACGCCCCAGCTGGTCCACACTGCATCAACCCTTTCAAAGCTGTTTAAAGGACCACTGTTTCAATGGGCGGTAGACCTGGCCTCTGGAGTCCAGGTCTGCCACCTATTGAAAATAATGGCCTTTTAAAATGTAAAGCGTGTTGAAGGGGGCTGGTGTGCCATAGCCCAGCTGACCCCTGGAAGCATCAGGAGCTCTGGTCTCTTGACTGCAGGGAATGCTTCATTCTCCCTCCCTCTCTCCCTCCCTCCCTCCCACTCTCCTCGCTGCTCTTCCTACCTCCACTGGGGGCAGTTGGTCCAATGCAAATCATCCTCTTTAAATGCCCTCCAAACTTTAAAAGGCCATTATTTTTAAGGGGTGTTAGACCTGGCCTCTAAGGGTCAGCTCTACTGGTCATTGACATAGTGGTCCTTTAAACTTTAAGTGGTGTTTAATGGGCCAAAGTGCCTTTGGACCAGCATTGGTGTGCCCCTTCAAACCTAGCTGTTGCTGTTTCCTCCTGGCCACAATTCCCAGTATTTATTGGAAGTGAAATATCAGCATTAGAGATATCCAGGAATGCTGTTCATGCAATCAGATATTGCCAATCCGATACTGGAAATACTGGGCATTGACTCTGGTTGGGAATGTCTGACTGCACAGCCCAGTTGCTTCAGGCAACTAGGTGGGAAATCATTGAACAGAGAGGGCAGACCCATCTTTGATGGCTCAGAACCATTTTGAATATTCATTAATGAGAACCATGAGTATCCTTTATTCCAACTAAAAACACTGTGGGAGTCCCACAAATGAATGAGGCAGTGCTTGGTCAGTGCTAGTGACCCACTATTTATGAATATCCTAAACCAAGAATTATGTTCAACAACAACTTCAGTACTGATGTTGTGTGTTACTGTATACCTGAAGTTCAAGGTCTTTCATATTCCAAAACTTAGGCTCAATTCACAATTGGAGAGTGGGCATAGCTCAGTGGCAGAGCCTCTGTTTTTCTCCATGGAGTCCCACAAATGAAAGAGGCAGTGCTTGGTCAGTGCTAGTGACCCACTATTTATGAATATCCTAAACCAAGAATTATGTTCAGCAACAACTTCAGCACTGACATTGTGTTACTGTATACATGAAGTTCAAGGTCTTTCATATTCCAAAACGTAGGCTCAATTCACAATTGGAGAGTGGGCATAGCTCAGTGGCAGAGCCTCTGTTTTTCATGCAGAAGGTCCCAGTTTCAGTCCCCAGCATCTCCAGTTAAAAGGACCAGGTAGTGATGCAATGTGAAAGACCTCTGCCTGACACTCTGAAGAGAACAGAGAACAGACAACACTGACCTTGATAGACCAGTGGTCTGTCTCAGTATTAGTCAGTTTCACGTGTTCATGTGGACAATGTATTTTTTAGGATGGTGAAGTGATTAAAAGGTGATTTACCTTATCCGCTCCCATATGGGAAACAGGTAGCATTTAGAGTGTGAGAAAGATTTTTTGGTCCTAAGTTCCCCCCCTCTTGCAATAAATATATAAGACAGAATCATCTCATAATGGCCTTATCTGATCCCAACATGGAAGCTGTCACCCTATAGAAATGCTTCTTAGGATTTCCATTTTCGGTGATGCTGTCTGGGAAATGTCCCTGATATGGCGGAATAATCTGCTGTCACGATTTCATTTTTCCCCCTTTTTCTTTTCTAGAGCTGCTATTTATGCTTCTGTCTCATTTTCTGAATGTGAGTGTATGTGTTTGATAACTGGCGTATTAGTTTATCTGATTTTTTTCTGAAAACGTGTCACCTAGCATCAAGGCAAGCCATTATAGAAGCATACCTTGATGGATTAGGTCTCTCAAATCGTGTCTGGTCTGATCTTCAGCTGAGGGAACGATGCCACGCTTGCTGACACACTGAATAAGCTGAACAATTTAAAACCTGTTTACACCAAGCCAGGGTTCCAAGCCTTTGATAGAAGAAGGTTTCCCCTCAGCCCACTAGCTTTGAGCTAGAGAAGTGACAAAGCTAATAACGGTAGAATGTCTGGATGGGCATTATAATGAAGGTCTGCTCTCATTCGTTGCTTGTGGGTACACTAGAAAGCCCAGACGTTGCCACCTCAGTTTTGATTCCATGTAATAACTGAATCTGTTTTCAGGAATATTTAAACCCCAAATAAACTGAAATCCCATTAACTGGCTTGCAGTTAGGGCTGTGCCTAGGATTTCTCTTGAGTAGTGTTAACAGCAAAACATTAAAAGCTATCCGTATAAACCACTCTCTGATAACAGATACTGTGGCAAGATTTTCCCAAGATCTGCAAATCTAACCCGTCACCTGAGGACACACACTGGAGAGCAGCCTTACAGGTACCAGATGAATGCATGTGTGGGGTGGCAAAGCATGGGGTGGTTGTTGAGCCCAAGACATCTCTTTCAAGACTGTCAGCCCTCCATGCAGCTGTTGCTGTAGTAGGTTTGACTGCCAATGAGCTTTTGGTGATACTGTATGGGCTACAAAAGAAGATGGAAAGTGGTTTGACAACATGCTACTTTAGAGCACAACTGGTCATGGTTTTGTGATACATGCATTGAGAGGCCAGGTCCAGAGGGCCTTTTGCACAGTCCCAGGATACCCAGAAACCTCCATGAGGAATGGTTCTTACCATCATCCAAAGCCAAATGTACGCAATCCTGTCTATGATGTGAATTAAAAATAGCTCTTCCACAGCTCCATGGATTAGTGAACGCTTGTCATCTTAGTAAGGAGTTGCAGATCTTTTAAGATAGCATTTAAAACAAGGTATGTTCCTGGCACTGGCAAGTATTAACATCGGAATATAACATAATTCAATCCATACTTGTCAGTGGATCCTTTTTTACCCCTGATTTGTATACAGCTCAGCCCTTAGATTGCTGTGCTAGTTCAGCCGGCAATAAGCAGCATGCAAAAAAAAAAAAAAGAAGTGGCATCTTTCAAACAGGTATCCAATCCACCACAGGACACATGCAAAGGCATGCATGCATGCATATTCTTTGTTGGATTGGAATGCATCATGCCTTCACACTGTAGTGTGCATTGACATGCAAAGTGTCTGATGTGGCTGCTGTTTTCAATGCATAAGTGTGAATGGGGATGCACATTTCCATCTGCTGCATTGCATGACTGATGGAATGAGGACCCTTGAACACTGTGTAAGACTGCCTGTGTGTTCCATCTAGCACATAGCAATATCTAGATTTTTCAAGATCCCACTGCTTTCTTGCAACGTGAGAAACCATCTGTTCCAGGGATGGCCAAACGGAAGCCGCTTTATCTGAGACCCAATGTCTCTATCCACATTTTAGTACAGGAAGGGTAAAAAAAAAATCTATCAACTGCAATGGTAACATTTTGACCTCATTTACAAAAGGGGATCCTGAAAAACTACAAATTCTGTGCAAAATTATCAAAACCAGATGAACAGCATTTTTACATGACAGAAGGGCTATCTCCTGTTTCTGTCTTCCCCTTGTTACATTTGTTTGGGAAGCTCGTGGCATTGCCACAAGCGTATGCTGTCCTGCCAACGGGCATGCACATCCCTCAGTTCCTTTAACCACTGCCGCAGGTGAGTTTCACAGATCTCCATGGGACCCAGCAGGGGAAGCCTTTAAGAATATCACCCAAGAGAACAATGCACATGCTGAAATAAGAAGAGAATTTTAATTGGACATAATGAAACTCTCACTTAATGAAATCAGTTGAAAGGCACTCAGCTCGTTTTCTAACAAAACAGACACAAATCGGTGCATTTTACGGCTTGCGAAGAAAGAACAAGCTCATTGTTTGGGATAGATCTCTCCCCCCACCCCCCCACTCCTGAATTTATTTGGGAAATGGGCTTGCATGTAATTTAATTCATGCTTTAAGAGGTATCTTGAAACATGTTATGCTCCTCCACCGCATAACAGCCAGAAACAATTAGCAATGTAATGCATAATTTCTTCCCTGAATAATTGACTTAGCACACAATGTTACAGGCATGTTTTGAAGTTCGGGAGAAATAGACGATTGGGGATGGGGGGGGGGGAACGAATGTGATGAAGACGGTTGGCCAGCTGCCAGCCAGAGAATTTGGAATAGTTATAGTGTGTCTTAGTAATGGCTTAAAGGGCAATACAGTAAAGGCTTCGGGGACTCCAAATCACTGCAGAGTATGAAAATTGATGCCTCTGGTACTAGAGTGATAGACTAAACCACTCGTGTTGGCATGGTATTAAAGATTTCAAATGTTTATTTCTGGGTTTCGGAAGATAACTGAATTTCCTCCAGGATTAGCAATCGAGCAAACTAATTCCTCAAGAAAAGATTTAATCACACAGCGTAATTTTGAATAGGGAAGGGAAAGTGGCCTTTCTACCTTATTGCAGCCTTAGAAGCAATTTCTGCCTTAGAAGTAGTTTGTTTCAAGTTTTCTTTCTTCTCAAAGTGCTTAATTGTACCATACTGGAAACACTGTTTTCCATCCTTCACAAGCTTTGGTGCAATACTTTTTAATAGATGGGAGTAGATTGCCCTATGGTATGTTCTGTTTCATCTGTTCCTTCCTGTGTGTATAATTGAGATGCATTCTGCATATGCCAAGGGGTGAGGTGTGGTGGTGGGACAGCATGAGCAACTGGGTTCTTTTCGTTATGCCCCGCAGTCCTCCATCCCATCCAAGATCAGTAATTTGTATCTTCCCTAATGGACAGATGTACCCATTAAGATATATTCATTAAGGAAGATGCTGAAGTTTGATTTCTGACATGGGAAGCAGGAAGTAGCATGCATTCAAGTATTTCCGATACAAAACAGTGCCCCAAATTCCCTGATTTGTCTTGAATGGGAAATATCCCAAAATCAAGCAAGGCACTCATAAACTTTGGGGATCATTTGGGGTTATTTCTGCATTGTTTTCAATGGGTAGTAGAGGTGGCATCCCACTGTGCTACTGCTTGCTGAAAACAGTGAATGCAAACTTGGCCTCTGGACTCAAATGCCAGGTCTACCACCCATTGGCATCATTAGGGGTAAACCTGGTCTCCAGATGGCAGGTCGACCGCCCATTGAAAACAGTGGAAGTAGATGTGGTAGACCAGGTCTGAACCTGTGGATTCCGAAGGACAGCAGACCAGATGTCTGGACAGAGGCCAGGTTTACCAAACCTGAGAAACTTATTCAAATCATATTTCAGAAGCGATACTAATATTCCCAAAGCTTTGGGGAAATGGTAATCATGCCCTTTCTGAAATAATGAAATGAAATGAAAATGAAGACATTTGAAGTGCACACCCCTAGCAGGAAGCATCACTCAACAGAGCAAAATATGTACAACTCATTCTGAGAGATCAGTAAATTTGCAATTTGTTTTCAGTGCGCTACCTGAAAAGGGGGGGGGGGTGTAGATAGCCTTATATTACAGGAGGGTCTGATCTAAAAAAAATATATACAAAAGATGCTAAAGACATTTCAGCAGAGTTTTGAAATGTTTACTTTGGAAAGATCTTCAAACTGCATTTGCTGTATGCCTAATCAGTATCAGTGACATATGATCATAATTGTTAGCAGGATGGTTTATTACAATATCAGTCAATAAATATCATTAGCAAAAACTACCATACTGGGAGGGCAGGAGTGCCATCCTTAGCAGAGTTGCAGCCTCCTAAGTCCATTGAAAGTCAACAGTCTTAGAAGGGTGCAATGTTGTTTAGGATGTCACTGCATTTGCATAGTGGGTGTCTGCATCAATACGTCAAGGAAAACTTTGATCAGCACAAACAACATGAATTGGACCTCGTGTGTGGTTGGTTCAGCCCATAAAACTGAACATGTTTTTAAGAATGGGAATTGCATTATGCTTAGGTATTTCGGTTTGATTGACACCGTCCCCCTTTTTTGTGATGACATTAGGGGAAATTTAAATTCGATATTATATTTCAGACACTAGTTTCATCTCTGATGTTTATTTTCAGATGCAAATACTGTGACAGGTCTTTTAGCATATCATCTAACCTGCAGAGACATGTTCGTAACATCCACAACAAGGAGAAGCCCTTCAAATGTCACTTGTGTGACAGGTGCTTTGGCCAACAAACCAACTTAGACAGACACCTCAAAAAGCACGAGAATGGCAACATGTCTGGTATGTCTGCAACCATGTTTTCTTTGTGAATAAAACATTCAGTCTTTTTCATTGGCAGTGCTGTGGAGTGGGTCTTGTGAATGCCTTCAAAAAGCAGGTGCAGATCTGTTTATCAGTTTGCTGATAGACTCTGATGGTGCGGTGAGACAGTTTATGAGATCGCCACAGTTACTGTTTGGAGGGTGTGGTGTCCTCTTGGCACTGAACCCCATGCTTTCTTCTTGTTGTTCAGTCGTACAGTCGAGTCCGACTCTTTGCAACCCCATGGACCAGATCACGCCAGGCCCTCCTGTCTTCTGCCGTCCTCTGAAGTTGGCTCAATTTCATGTTCGTTGCATCTATGACACTGTCTAACCATCTCATCCTTTGCGTCCCCATCTTCTTTGACCTTCAATCTTTCCCAGCATCAGGGTCTTCTCTGGGATGCTTTCTATCCCAGAGCAATTACAGGGTTCTTCCTGTGGTAAAAAAAACACTGTGGTTTAAACTCTGTCCAAAGACTTTTAAACAGCCATGACTGTAATCTTAAATTCATATCAGAAATCAAAATTCTCGTCCTTAGCAAAGGCAGCTTTGGCCACTGGCAGATAGTTAACACTATGATCTGGGGCCACCGAGTGGCTGGGATCTTTTGGCTGGATCCAGCCCTTCTCTTAAAGAAATGTTAATCACTTCATCAGTCCACCTGGAGATCTCCTTTCTTCCAGAAGTTATAAAACAAGAAAGTGGTCAAGAAGACATACAGTAGGCCATAAGACTCCCAAAAGAAGTGAAATCGTTGGCACCACATCAAGACCTATTTGACTTTGCCAGTCCAGTGGATCACACTTTCTGGGACTGGTAAAGAGATGGAAGTAGTCATCTGATTGGATACCAAGCTGAGAACTTTAGACACACAATCTTCATATAAGTGAGCCCTATTGATATCGGAGGATTGTTGTGGTCTATTTACATATATCAGTTTTGTCAGTCAGAATGAGTGAAGAGAACCTCACTAAGAAGAAATATCAATCAGTTAGGGCAGTATAGGCTATTTCCTCAACAAATCCATCCAGCTTTTTTTGTATATCTCATGACTGGACCCAGAAAAGGATGCTTACCCTTTCCAAGCCAGTTCTGTGATCTTGTATCCGCATAAATGTAACCATCATAATTTAGCTGAATAAAGTATATGAACATAAATGCCTCATGCAAGTGACTTTATTTCTTTGAAGGTACTGCTACGTCTTCACCACACTCCGAACTTGAAAGCACAGGGGCCATCCTAGATGACAAAGAGGACTCGTATTTTACAGAAATTCGGAATTTCATTGGGAATAGTAACCATAACAGTTCAGAAGAAAGGTAAGCTGGGTCTACTTAGTGCTGCTTGATTTGATTTGTTCTAGCTTTTTTACCATTCAAAGGTTACTTTTTCAACTGATTTTGAAAAAGATATTGGATGCATTCCAGAGAAAAGGGTTAAAGTTGATGGCATCATAATGCAATTGTGAAACTTCTGTTGATTTCAGTGGTTGCTTAATTACTCCAAACTTTCTCTGAACCAGGTCCATTACCTACTTGAAATTCAGGTTTGCCCATCCATCTTAATTTTTCATTCGCAAAGACAATTTAATTTTACTCCTAAAACCTTCTTGTGCATCCCCCCCCCCCAAATAAATAGAGCAACTGTGCTTAAGCTCTCTTTTCTTGAAAAAGGACCTCCAGCCTGCCAAATGATGAGCCGGCTTGGCTCATGATTCATCTTCCTTGTGATAGAAATCTAAAGATTACTGGGAACATTGCCAAGGGGTAGTGCTGCACTCTTAATTAAGTTATATGTAACTGTTCAACACTCTGCTCTGTTCAGGCTGCTACTTACTGCTATATATCCACTACTAATGTCTCACCGGGCTTAATTCATTATATAGTTTGAGTACCTCTGTGTGTGTTTTTGTTTTGTTCTGGATTTGCAAACATTGCACAGGAAATAAGGGCAAGCCTTCCGCACCACTGTAATCTTACATGCCATGACACACTAAGTTGAAAGTTCCTCCTCTCTTTCATTGATTCACTTCCTGCTTTCAAGGGCAGAAACGTCACACAGCTTGTGACTTTTACTTTTTCAAGTTTTCTTCCTAATTTTTATGGTGTAGCCCTATACCCGGCAAACATATTCATGAAGGCAGTTGATTAGACGTTACATACATATTCAAACTTTTTTTCTTGCTTGATTGTTATGGGTCATTTTTTTCTCCATCTGGTCTCAACATGTCCCCAGATAGGAAGCTGAAGTAAAGGCTGATGGGTCATCCAGTGTCTCCTTTCAAAAACTGGCACTTTAGACTACTTTTGATGGATATTACATACTTGGCAAATTACCACATATGAAAACTGTAATTAACAAATCTGTTTTCTTAATCATATGGGTTTCATTACTCCGGTTACAATCCAAACCCTTTTCACTTCAAACAGTTTTCATCTTGCATAGTTTTCAGTCTGGCAAACCCTGGTGTACCGTTCATAGTGCCTTATGCCTGTCCACAATGTACGATCGGGGCACTGTGATGAGAGAAGCCAAAGATACCCACCAATTGATGATCAGTTTTTCAAAGCCATTGAAAATTTGTATTTTCTTTATGCTCTTTCCAAAGTTATTTCCTTATGATTAATGGATTCTGTAGTTCTTAATGATGATTGGTTCATTTCTATTTCTTTCTTTTTCTTCTGTAATATAGATGACAGAATACAGCTATGTTGACCGATTACCCATAAGATAATTGTTTGTGGGTAGTGCTGCATAATTTAGACAATGATGAGATGATTTTTGGTGTGGTTTCATTTTATTTAGACAATAAGTAATGTATTGGAAAATCTAAAAACAATCAAACAAGAAATTGAATTCTCTTGTTTTTAAATAAAGGGCTTATTTGGCTTTTTGGTTGGGTAATCTTGACTGCTTCTGGTGAACTTGAGCTAAGATTTGAATTTCAGTTCAGATGTTCTAGTAAGACAAGCTAATCTCGTCTCCAGCTATGACACACATACAAACAAACTGGGATAAAATCCTGGCTTATAGTTTTAAACGATACCAGTGTTTTTCATCATTGTTTCTCTACATCAAAGGCTACACTCCACCCTGCAGTTAAGTGTATTTAAGGCCACTGATTTCACTTTAGCCAAAATATTTGAACTTCAGTGCCTCCAACACTTTGCACACTACAAAACTGAATCCTGTGTGGCCAAGATCTGGGTGAAAGTCGCACGAACACATAGAATCATAGAGTTGGAAGGGACTTCCAGGGTCATCTATTCCACCCCCCTGCACAATACAGGAAATTCACAAATACTCCCCCCCCCACACACACACACACAGTGATCCCTGCTCCACACCCAGAAGATGGCAAACAACCTCCAGGATCTCCAGCCAAACTGGCCTGGAGAAAAATTGCTTCCTGACCCCAAAGTGGCAATCAGCAGTTCCCTGGGCGTGTAAGAAAGGACGATAAGAACTGAGCACTAATGCAACCCTTCCTGCTCTCCCTCTCATGGGCTGTTCTTTCCCAAACTGCAGTCGTAGAGTCGGTGTGCGAACTCTAGATAATTCTGAAGGGTGGGGGAGATGATGGTTTTGTAGTAGCCTGCCAGATGAGCTCCCCCCCACATTAGGGCAGAACCAGTTTAAATATGGAGACAGTTGCATGAAAAGTTCCAAAAGTCACTTAACCACCATCTAGGTGTTTTGCATGGCTGGTGTTAACATGGTTTGGGCCTTTGAAATATTACACTGATTTGATCTCTTGCCTCTGTAGCAAAAGAACATTCCTAGGGTGGGTAGTGGGTCTGCCTTATACTAAGTTGGGCCACTGTTTTGTCAAAGTCAGTGTTGTCTACTCTGGCTGGCAGTGGCCGTCCAGGGACTCAGGTAGAGGTCTTTCACATCACATGCTGCTACCTGATTCTTTCAACTGAGATGCTGGGAATTGAACCTGGGACTTTCTTCGTGCAAAGCAGATGCTCTACCACTAAGCCACTGCTCCGCCCATTCTTGTAAATGAATTAGCACATTGTGTGCTTTATTTTACTTATGACCTTTCTATCCAGTCCTTCTCCACGAGCTCAGGGCAGTCTACAGGAGGGTAATTCCATTTTATCCTCACAACAGATAGGTTGGTTTGCCCTCTATTGATGGTCCCTTCTGTAAAATAGATTATATTCTGCTGATATCCATTATGAGTATCTCTCTGCGGGAAACGGGGAAGTGGGAGGCAGCTGACAATGTGACTAATTTTTCCCTTAGGCCAGTAGTGAATATGCTGGGAATTCTATTCCCAGGGATAATGCAATGTAGTAATCTAAAACTTAGGCATAATATTGTGGAAAAGCTATCTTCACAATTCTATCAGGCTGTGAATTGAATTTCAAAGAAATACTGGCAACTTAATGAACCTGGATGGAGTAATATTGATTTTAATTATGGCAGAATTATGACCCACGGGACAGCCAATGCAAAACAAAGTGTAGAGAGCAGAGCCTGTGAAAGGGCTCCCTCTGTTTCTGCAACTGCCTGCAATCTGATTATGTGCTGATTGATATATATTTTTTAAAGAATGAATGGAAGTCACTTTAAAGATGAAAAGACTTTGGTGGCGAGCCAGAACTCGGATTTGTTGGAGGACGAAGAAGCGGAGGATGAAGTAATGATGGACGAAGAAGATGAAGAAAGCGAAATAACGGGGAAGCCAGTTAAAGAACCTGCGGCAAGCAGCATATGTGAAGATGCCACCGAGGGAGACTATGAAGAAGAAAATGCTTTGGAAATGAACTGCAAGTCTTCTCCCGGCAGGTAGGTTCTTTTGCCAATAGCTGTCAACACTATGGGAAAATATCCTAGCAATGCAGGGCATTCAAATAACATTGTGTGTAGAAGGAGTGAGACTCTGCACTAGGATTTCAAGCTTTTTAAAAATTCCCTCACTCTGTTCTTTTCTATTGTTAAAAACCCTAAGGCTGCAGTCACACACACTAAATAATCCACTTTCAATCCTGTTTCAATGTAATTTGCCACTGGATTTTGCCAGTTCATAAAGGTCCTTTCCCCATTTGCCGGCCACTCCAGATTTTCTCAGTGTTCACGTCGAGGCAATTTAAGTCCATGGCAAAACATCATCCAAATAACCCGGGGCAACAGCAGGCTGAAACTGGGCTGAACACTGAGGGGAGGTAATGTAATGCAGAATGGGGAGAAATCCGGAGTAAAAATAAGGTTTAACTCGATTTTAGTGAAAGGGGGGGGGGGAACCTGGATTTAAAAGAAGGTTGGATTCGATTTTAGTGCAGAATTGCTTGGAGGACAAGGTGCTGAACATGGATCAAAAGAAGAGTGCAGAAAAGGCCACAGTAAAATCCTGTTGGGAAGTGCACTGGAAGTGGAGTTAAAGTAAATTATTTAGCGTGTGTGACCACAGCTTCAGTGTACTGTCATGCCTTTTCCTTCAGCCCAAGGCCAAAGCATGCCCAGACACCTGGCAACCATGATCAGTGCACCTCAGCCCCCTCCTGTTTCAAGGAGACATTTGGGAAGTGCTTCTTGCAGATTGCTCGTCGGTCACCGCCATCAAGCACATTAAGAGCTGATGAAGTGAGGCTGGCGGTTAAGACACCATAAAATGTCACGGTGATAAAAAGACAAGGGAGGAAGGGATCTCATAGCTGTGACTTAGGATACTGCTTATGTGGAGCACACAGCTGGGTACAGATTGATTTGTAACTTCTAAACATATCCCTGAGATTTGTGCCGTATAGGTTACCAAATCAACAATAATCAAGGTTTTGGGGGAGGATTTGCCATCAAGGCACAACAGGCTTATGGTGAACCCATAGCGTTCTCAAAGCAAGAGATGAACAGAGGTGGTTTGCCATTGCCTGTCTCTGCACAGCAACCCTGAATTTCCTTGGTGGTCTCCCATGCAAGTACTAACAAGGGCTAACTCTGTTTAGCTTCCAAGATTTGACAAGATTGGGCTTGCCAGGGCTATGCAGGTCAGGGCAATCAAATCAACAAAGATCAAGGTTGTCAGTGGGAAACACTGGGGGGATTTATCAGAGCTGTTCTCTCAAGGACAGTTCTCAGGAGAGCTCTCTCAGCCCTGCCTACCTCACAGGGTGTCTGTTGTGGGGAGGGGAAGGAGATTGTAAACCGCTCTGAGACTCCTTCGGGCAGTGAAGGGTGGGGTATAAATCCAATCTCTTCTTCTTCTTCTCTTCTAAAACGTTAAAACAGGACAGGAGCAAACAAGTCACCATTTCCAGATCCTGGATAGTTACTTCTAGAATGAATTACATATGTTTTGTTGATGATTGTTTGTAGCCCTGTAAGAAGGTTTGGAATGGAGAAAGAACTGAGCAACTGAGGGCTTTTCTTGCAGGTTGTGACCAAGAGAAAAATAGCCAGTGGGACATAAGCCCATGTTATCTAAGTCCCATTAGTTGAAATAAAATGCATGCCTCCTGTATTTGGGATTATGCCTAGTATGGGGTGGGGGGATTACTAACATAGGAAAGGATCAGACAATAATGAATTTATAATAGTGATCTGTAATGATCTTCTTTTCAAACTGATTTGCCAATTTTGTGTCTTTCTGTAGGTATAAGGAAGAAGATTTTAATAAAACTGGACTTTCTGCTTTGGACCATATCAGGCACTTCACTGATAGCCTCAAAGTGAGGAAAATGGAAGAAAGCCAGTTTAGTGAAGCTGAGCTGGCATCATTCGGCACCTCCCATCTTCCAGAAGACTTAAAGCAACCATTGTATCGCAAGTCCAAATCCCAGGTAAGGGCTAACATTTCAGAAGATGCAGGAGACAGCAGCCAATGATTTGCAGTTTGTACCTTGCTGATAGTGAAAATCAAAAACCCATCTTAGTCTTTTGGGGTTATTTAAACTGATACATGGCCCTAATTTTCATGGCCCTTGGTTAGTGGACAATGGGGGCAACTGTGGGTATCTCCTAATTACCAGGATCAGACCTTGGGCTTGTTTGCTCCTTCTTACCAGCTACTTTGTATTTCACCAGACTCAGTTTACATTGGTTAGGCATTACACTCGCCTTGGACTATCTGCATCAAATGCTAAACATGTTCAAGACCTGGTTTCCAATCATAATTAAGATTCAGGTAACCTGGTGTGGTGGAATGGGCCAACCTGCAGACCCTGTTCCACCCTGCCCTCCAAGGTTTTCCCCAACACCTGGAGAGACTTTTGTCTTTCTCTCTGGTAACCAGTGCCACCACCTGACTTGCCCACAAATCCCTTCCAAGCTCTGAGGCCTTGCCTCTGTGTCTCCTGCTGCCCAGCGCCTGGTCACCACAGGGACTGTTTACTGCCTTGGGTGCCCCAGAGGAATAGCCGCTTGCCAACTGACTGCCTTTCCTTGGTGCTCCTTTTTAAATAGCGTGTCCAAGATGGTGGAGGGCTATGTGGTATAGAGAACCACTACCAGCACAAAAAGTTATAAAGTATTTATTAAAAAGAAAATGTTCACAAGAATACTTTTAGCACAGCACCAGACTGAGCAAGGGATTCAAAAGAAATGAGTAAAATGCAATTCCTCTGTGCCTCTCTTTATACATGCCCTAAAAGATGTTAAATTATAGGACAGGCTCCTTAGCTTAGAATGCAATAGATCTCCACAGAGGTGCCTTTACTTTGCCATTTTCTCCAGCTGTCCAGGCCAGCACACGGTAATGGCTGCCTCCTCCAGACCTCAGTTAAGAGTTCTGTCTGCTCTGATGGACTCAGCACAAAAGAGACCTTTTCCTTGCTTCCAGGAGTTTTATCTTCTCTCTATTCCCCACCCATTGACCAAGTCAGGCTGGGTCAAAGAAGCTTTTCCTGGAGATCTCCAGGAGTTCCTTCCTGAAGTCTTTCTAGTATTTAACACCTCCAGATCTCTGTTTGGGTCATTTCAAGAAAGGGGGGGGGGGGGGTGACCATCCCATTGTCTAGACCTATTAGCATTTGTATGAACGTGGACTGAGGTAAGTCTGGAAAGTAATTGAACTGATTTCCTCCCTTCCTGCCCAGAGAGAGAAAATTTGCTAAAGTTGCCACAGGGTATGTTCTAATGTATCTACATACACAAGTGCCATCAAGTCACAACTGACTTAACAACAATCCCAGGAAGGGGCTTTCAAGGCAAGTGAGAAGCAGAGGTGGTTTGCCCTTGCCTTCCTCTGCAGATTCTGCCTTGGTGGTCTCTCATCCAAGTAGTGACCCTGTTTAGCTTCCCATATCTGACAAGATTGGGCTGTATCACGCCTCCTTCCCTTCATTTGATCTGACATACAATCTTTAATTTACTTCCCTACTGTTAAAATCTCCAGCCAGGAAATGTCATGTACTAAGGTTCTGAAATCAAGTTTGTTGCTCAGCTATGTACATTTTGTATTCATCATCCTAGTGTAGTGTTTCTCAAACCATGGGGCACACGAGACCTGCCTGAGGGTCGGTCAGTTTAGCCATCCGTGGCTTAAGAGTTACACTTTCCTTCAGCTGAGTACCTTTCCACCAAGGACAGCAGCAAAGCAGAACAATTTCCCCATCTTCTCCAGTCCCTTGTCTTTCCTCTGCCCCCTTCTGCACACCAGAGCCAATGTAGGAAGCAATTTCGCCAGAGCAGCTTTTTTTGGGGGGGGGATAGGACTGTAGAGGGAAAGAAAAGTTTTAGAAAGTTTTGATGCTGCTGATTGGAGCCCTACATGGGGTCGGGGGGAGTAAAGTTATCAAGAAAGTAGTGGAGTTCAAACATTTTGAGAAAGACTGTCCTAGAACATGTCCCATTCAAGTTTTCTGTCATGAGGTCCCATAAGTGTAGTGAGAGAGTGCTTTGTGGTATGTAAAATAAAATGGAATTCACAGTAGCTCCCAAGTGGAGCCAAGTCTGTAAACACTATGGACTGAATAGGTTCTTCCTGGACAGAACTGTGGATCCAGATAGCATGGTTAAACCTCTGATCTTGACCACCATTTCTCTCCTATGGCTGCAGGCATATGCTATGATGCTTTCGCTCTCCGACAAGGATACCCTCCACTCTGCATCCCACAATTCCTCCAACATGTGGCACAGTATGGCAAGAGCCGCTGCAGAATCCAGTGCTATTCAGTCCATTAGTCATGTATGACACCATCAACGTAACTGGATTGGGACCAAGTCCGAACTAGGAACGTGGCTCTTTCCTAGAAGACTATTTAAAAGACTGCGGAGCAGAATGCCTTAGAAATCTGATGGGTCACATTTAAAGTCAGGTGACCTTAAACTGAATGATTGAAAGAAAGAAGAAGAAAAAACTATTTATTCTCAATATTTTGTTTTGCACAGCAAAGGCAGCTGCTGACATTTTGAGGATCAATGCGACTTTCAAAATTCGTGGATCAAATAGACCTTGATGGGGAAATACGTGTCTTCCACTCCACTTGCTTGGGGAGGGACTAAAGGGTTAAGACTTGTATTCATACACAATCACACACACACACAAGCACTTCATTAAAATCAAATGGAATTGTGTTCCTTTCCTTATTGTTTTTTGGGGGCGGGGTTATAGAGTAATTGATGGCAGGATAAGGAACAGTTGCTTTTCTGTACAAATCCTCCTCATATATGCTTTATGCACTTAAAATCATTGAAGAAAGACAAAGCAGTTCTCTCAAATGTACATCAGCCATTAGCCTTGAATCTAATGACAAGGAATTGCTTGCCCTCTCCTTATCTTTCGCCTTCTGACCTGCATTGTAAAAAAAGAGAGAGAGAGAGAGAAAACAACATGAGACAATAATGTAAGAAGTCTGTGTATATTGTAAAAAGAAACCGGGAAAAATTCATCTGTTCCAGGAGATGAGTCTTTCAGCATATGACTAGCGAAAGAGACCATGGCCACATACCACTATAGTTCAGTGTTTCTCTGATCAATGTCATGACATTTTAATTTTAGACAATCATGTCACTGTTCTAATTTTTTTTTGTTACCTTGTTTTGTTGGTTTTGTTCATCGGTTGATCTCGATTTTTCTTTCTTTCTGTTTTTGGTGTTGCGTGTACCATGTATTTATTTGTCGGCAAACAATTGTTTGTGGATTAAGGGGGGGAAAAAGCACTCTTGCTAAATGTAGCACTGTCCTTCTGAAATCCGTAGCACTGTTCCAGTCCCCCCACCCCGTCATTTTTCTGGGCACCCATGGACTTCAAAAGGAAAAAGAAGGGGAGGCAAATGGATCTGCATATACAGGCGTGCAAACAGTGTTTGGAAAGATTTCTTACATTCCTCTTTTACTATTTTTTTTCCTTTTTAATGAAACTAAATGATGAATAGAGATGATTTAGAGTCTTTTTTTTGTAATACGGCAAAATGATTCAAATGTATAAAGCATTCTGATTTTTTCTTCATGAAAGCATGATTCTTCTGATTAAAAAGAGAAAAAGAAAACTGTACCCAATATTTTATGCCGGTTGTCTGCGAGCTTGTGTGATGTTACGTTCATGTTAATCCTATTTGTAAAATGAAGTGTTCCAAACTTGTTTGAAAAAAAAAGAGAGCCCTCCCCCAAGAAATAAATAATGAACTGTATTCAGTTATTGGGGGGGGGGCAGGGGAGGGAGGGGGGGTATTTTGCCCTTTGGGGGAGGGACCAGATTTTAATTTTCCTTTTGTTTATTATCTCATTTTGAAATAACCAGCAAGTCGAGGTACTTTCTTTAAATGCTTTGTACAATGTAACTGTTATTCATTTCAGTACATTACTATGGGAGGATCAAATTAAAAAAAAATAAAGGATTATAAAAACAAAAGGATCATTGTTGCTGCGCATTCTTTAACACTGTAGAATGGATGAGACAAATTACACCATGTTCAACAGCATTTCTGTGAAATGTTCCTGGCTAGTAAGAGTCACGCCCTGAAGCTAAGCAGGGTTAGCCTTAGTTAGTATTTTGGATAGGAGACCACCCCGGAATTCCAGGGTTGCTATGCAGAGGAAAGCAATGGCAAACCACCTCTGTTAGTCACTTGCCTTGGAAACTCTACAGGGTCACCTTACCTATGACTTTACAGCACTTACACACACACACAATAAGAATCATAACCTACCACAGAGACTCTCTTTTTGCCCAGTCTCACTCTGATCTGAGGCCAGGAACATATTGAGTGCCACACAACAATAGGGATAGACATAAGATGAAATTTGTTCCGATATTTTGCTACTTGATGAGCATTTTCATACTACAGCTTCAGCATTCTGGCAAAAAGGCATGGCACACAGTCTCTACTAGCCTGCTCTTTTCTGTTCTAATCTAATCCCAAACCAATATGAATGCTGAGAACACTCAAGGCATATGGTTGACAGTGGTGGCTAGGAAGATCACCTGGCCTCCCCACTGTTGGGCCATGAATCTCGTTGTACCAGCTGCCCCTTTAGTTATCCACCTCCAAAGATTTGTTGGGGTGCCATCTGATATAAGTTTTAATGGTAAAGTTGGTTTCATACTGTTTCTTTAATGGTTGGAAGCCGCACTGAGCCCTGCCTGGTGGGGAAAGCAGTGGGATAAAACTAAAGATAATTAAAACAGATGTGATGGATATTTAAGCAAATGACTCACTCTTTGTGAGTCTCATTCTCACACACATGTACACATATATAGGTGGAGTGTATATGGAGAGGAGTGACAAGTGGAGTGCCTCAAGGATCTGTCCTGGGACCTGTTCCATTCAACAGCTTTATAAATAATTTGGATGAAGGAATAGAGGGAATGCTTATTAAATTTACAGATAATACAAAATTGGGAGGGGTAGCAAATATGGTAGAAAACAGAGTCAGGATACAAGATGATCCTGACAGGTTGGAAAACTGGGCTAAAATAAATAAAATGAATGTCAATATAAGTTCTGCATTTAGGTAGGAAAAATCAAATGCATAATTTTAGGATGAAGGAGACTTGTCTTGGCAGTAGTATGTATGAAAAGAATCTATTGGTCTTAGTAGACCATACACTGAACATGAATCAGCTGTGTGATGCGGTAGCTAAAAAGGCAAATGCGTTTTTGGGCTGTATCAACAGAAGTATAGTGTCCAGATGACATGAAGTGATGGTATTGCTTTACTCTGCTCTGGTTAGACTTTACCTAGAGTACTGTGTTCAGTTTGGGGCACCACACTTTAAGAAGGATATAGACAAGTTGGAACATGTCCAGAGGTTAAGCATTAGGAAGAACTTCCTGACAGAGTGGTTCCTCAGTGGAACAGGCTTCCTCTGGAGGTGGTGGGCTCTCCTTCTTTGGCAGTTTTCAAACAGAGGCTAGCAGGCCATCTGTCAGCAATACTGATTCTGTGAACTTAGGCAATTCATGAGAGGGAGGGCAGGAATTTGCTCATTGAGTTGGCCCTTTCTTACATGCCCAGGGAAATGTTGATCACCACTCTGGGGTCAGGGAGCAATTTTTCTCCAGGCCAGTTTGGTTGGAGATCCTGGAGGATTTTGTCATCTTCTGGGCATGGAACAGTGGTCACTGGTTGTGTGTGGAGGGGGCGGTATTTGTGAATTTTCTGCATTGTGCAGGGGGTTGCACTGCAGGTCCCTTCCAACTCTATGATTCTATGATTCTACACACACTAATTGTCTTGCTGAAGCAGACCAAGAACCTTCCTAAGTTAGAGGCCCTGAAGAAATTTACAAGCAGACCATGATGGTGGGAACCATCCCTTTTTGTGGTATGCCTCCGTATCTGGTCATCAAAAGTGTAGTTTCTGTAAATCTGGAGGGTCTGTTTATCTACCATGGCTAATAGCTATCAATGGTAGTGCAAAGCACCATCAAGTTACAGCTGACTTACAATGACCTCGTATTGAAGGCAAAAGACAAACAGAGGTGGTTTGCCATTGCCTGCCCTTGCATAGCAACCCTGGACTTCCTTAGTGGTCTCCCATCCAAGCACTAAACAGAGCTGACCCTGCTTAGCTTCTGAGAGCTCATGAAGTCAGACTAGCCCGGGCAATCATGTTGGGGTAACAGTTATCAATAATCTCTTTTTTTAAGAAAAAAAGAGGGTTGCACTTACCTGTAACTGTTGTTCATCAAGTCGTCTTCTGTGCAGGGAGACATTGGGAACTGCGCTTGCACAGGCCAACCACCAGAGGCTCTCTACAATTCTTTCTATCCTTATAAGGGTAGGAGGCCGTCACGAGCTTCTTCCCACTCAAACAGTCACATGTCCACCAAGGTTCCCTCTAAGCTTCGGAGTCCTGTGAGCAAAAATTCAGCTTTGTGAGCTACTGGCATTCAACTTGTGTGCGAGTGATTTGGTTACTGCATGAATTAGTTTGCCCTGGAGCCCTCCTTCCTGAGCTAAGATGAAAATGTGTGAGCCGGAGGCTAAAAAACTGTGAGCTAGCTCACACTAACTCAGCTTAGAGGGAACACTGATGTCCACAGGGCGAGCTCCCCCCACCCCTCAGTCTCCTTAGGCCACCCCAAGAAGTAACTCTCAGTGGGGGAGGAGGGAGGGGATGTGTGCCTACACAGAAGACAACTCGATGAGCAACAGTTACAGGTAAGTGCAACCCTGTTTTCATCTTCGGTCTTCTGTGCATTCCCTTACCTTGGAGGTGGGGTGAGTTACTGGAACAGAGAGTGCAGTACAGCTCTGCCAACTACTGCATCCTTTCTGGCATTCACATCCACAGAGTAATGCCAGATAAAAGTGTCAGCTGATGACTACGTTGCTGCTCGACAGATGTCCCCAAGACGTGTCCCCTTCCAGAAGGTGGCAGATCCGGCCTGAGTCAAATGCGCTCTCAATCCAAGTGGACATTGGAGACCTGCCTGATGATACACCCATCGAATGGCGGACGCAGCCCATCTGGAAACCATCTGTGCTGAAGCAGCTCTACCCTTCAGGGTGCCCGAGAAACAATCAAAAAGCCTGTGGGACTTCCTAAAGGGGCAGGTCCTATCCAAATAAAATAACAAAGCCCTTTTCACATCCAGTGTATGTCATGCTTTTTCTGAATCTGATGTTGGAGGTGGGAAGAATATGGGGAGCACTATATCTTGGGCTAAGTGAAAGGTTGAGACCACATCGGGGAGAAACTGCATGCTAGGCCTGAGTAAAACATAGCCTGGCTGACCTTTCAGG